TTTTGTAATGGATTAATTTATACGGTTACTGTTTATGAGATATGTATTATGTTGACAGTTCCTCGTTTAATATTAAGCAAGCAAATGGACAAAGTGATAGTTTAATAATAATAATATGTTTGAAGGAGCAAGAATTCATGTATAATAGTAATAGTCTAGATGACAGTGCATATGACTCAACGGTGGCGTATATGATGGCAGATATGTAGACTGTAAGTTTGAATCACTTTGAACTCAGCTTTTTTGGGATAATACCATATGTTTGTCTCACTGCTTAATCCACCATTGTCCACTCAAGCAAAAGCATGGGAGCATACATCTCTTCCTGAATTAAATTGTTTTTAAGTCTTCGTTTACACATTCTGCGACGGACAAAATATGTGCAGAAACTAGTCATAAAAGGCTTATAGGGATATCGTACACTTTTGCTGGTGCAAGTTTCATTTTAATTGAGTATCATTTTCAAATCACTAATGAAAATTGTAAAATCTCAAACCTTTCGTTTGTTGAACTGAATATTAGTGCATGAAATAGACCAATATGCTATCGATGAAATATTTATTTAAACCATTTTATCCAGTAATCAGTGATGATCTAAATATCTAAGCCTTTATGCAATGATAAAAACTATTCAGCCGCACAAAATCAGTGACAGAATAAACTCAATTGAAAGAGATTAACGCTGTTATCAATCGTTATCTCCAAGTAGATTTATTTTTTTATGGGATTTTGTCTTGTTGAAAGTATAAATTTTTTCGTATATCGTTCTCAATGCACATTCTTTTTCGCGGGTCGGGAAGTGGATTCTCAAGTCAACCTAATTTTGTAACTAATGGAATCAGTTAAATGGCAAACGGAAGAAACAAAAGCAATAGCTAATAGAGGTTCATGGAATGTTCGAATAATGTAGGAGACCGTATGGACCAGTCAAGTAGCTGTGGAAATGAGGAGATACAACCTAACGGTTCTCAGAATCATAGGACTTAAGCTAGACAGCAAAGGACAGATTCAGGAGAGATGCTTCTGTACTATGGTCTTGAAGAAGAAAATGCTCCATACACTCAGCGGGTTTGTCTCATGCTGTCCAAAGTATCAAGAAACTCACTTATTGAAAGGAAATGTCATTGGTGCAATAACTTCAAAGCAAAGAAGGAGGGAATCACAATGAATATTATCCAATGTGATGCACACACCAATGATGGCAACGACGATAAAGATCGGTTTTATGAGAGGCTGTCCATGTAAGATACTCGACGTCTGTTGACCCGACACAATAAGGAATGATCTATTATGAGGGAAGACAAACCAACCTTCATCTGAGGAGAAAATAAAGAAAAGACACTAGAAGTGGATAGGACATACGTTGAAGAAATCACCAAACTGCATCACAAGGCAAGTGTCAATTTGGAATCCTGGAGGCAAAGAGGAACGTGGCAGGTCAAAAAACGTAACGCGTTGGTAATTGGAGATAAACATCCAAAGAATGAATACCATATGGTTACAACTTGTAAGGAGGGTGGAGTACAGTGTTGGAAGAAGAATGATGATGGGCGGCCTATGCTCCTCCATGAGGGGTAAAAAGCTCAAGTATATAAGTACGTCTCAGTTTTGCTATCGTTTTAAGTATGGGCTTAGGGGTTTTAACGTCCTACATTTTGTTGAGTATATATCAGATCAGATTGAAGTAATGTCTTTGAGCCTTAATGTCGCGAAGTTGATCATTTCTTAATTGAGCACTGAATATCAAGTTTAATGAATTGTACGCTTATTCTTTGATATTTTCATGCTATGCATAAGTTACTAATAATTATTGACATGTAAATTGAAAATTCAAAACTATTGTGTATCCTTTCATTTTTCTTTATATTTCATTAGAATGTAGGATGACATAAAGTATCGTTCAAATGACCTTCTATATACGTTGATGAAAATATGGTAATAAATATATATCTTTGATAGTGAAATTTCTCAGAATATATGTCAGTATGCTGCAGTGTGCATTTGATTTCGTTCAACATATCCATTATACATAGTTTTTATTTCATTCCAGTAATTATTTTCCCACCTCCTTCTTTCATAATATTAAATACTGACAATCGTGGTTGGCTTGTAGCCAACTTTATATTAATATTCAGTATTTTATATTACTAAGGCGTAACATTTACCCAATTTGTTCATGTAAATTTGGTGCAAAATATGTACTAACGTGTACTTTTTTACTACCCAATGAAAAAAACACAACACCAAAGCAGTAGTTTTACAATAATTATTAAAATGTATAGCCTAACTGTAAGAAAGAATTACTTTGATTATTCTATTCCTGCAGACAATTGTTCTTTCTAGGCAAAATCTTTGTACATTTTTCATAAAGATTAAATACTTTTAGTATCAGATTGTATAGATCTGGAAATTGTATTACTTTATACAACATCAATTAACCAACAGATATTTACTCTAAACATTAATATTCTCTTCTTATTGTAAAGATTGTTTAATAAAAGGGATAAACCTAGTGTCATTAATAAAAATAATACTATAAATTATGAATGTTTAATGTTTTTTATACTCATTTATATTCACTGTATAGTAGACATTAGAGGATAAAATAGTATAATGTAATCTACTAATATATAAACAATAAACAGTGGATTATTTCTCTTCTATGTGATTAAATAAAACAACCTTCCTTCATTAGTCGGTAAAACATTCATCATGCTATCAATTGATTTACAATTTGTAAAACTTATTTTCAAATGCTTTTTTTTCTATTTATATTCTTTTCATCATTTTTTTATGAGATAATTTTGTTGTGATTCCATTATTCAACAGTGATACATCAAAAGGAGTTTGAAAAATTTCATTATGAAGTAGTAAATAACAATTGATAATACATTGGTGTGTACTACTTATATTGACATAAGTAGTAGATGATGTTAGTCGTAGACAGAAGATTTGGAAGCAGAGAAACTAGAGGATCGGAAAGTAAAGAATGGAAGTACAGATGCAATTTGTATGAAAATGCTAGAACAATGAAGTCTGAGTCATTTTGAGACAATTTGTGGACATTTTGCAAATTAAGCGTTTACTTTATGATTGTTAGAGTTTATTAACAAGTCCTGTAATTTTGTGTTAAATGCATTCGATTGTCCCCACCCGTGTTCTGTTCACTACAGTACAATTCAAATATTAAAACTTGAAAGTTTTCAGAAAAAGAGATTATTATACTGATGAATATTTGAGAGAGAGAAAAAACATTTATTCAGGATTAGTTTTACAGTCAGAAGATGATGGTTAAAGATAGTCAACAGAAAATTCTGGATCCGGGTTTTGTGTTATTTAGCACTCGTCAGCAAGGTGTACTTATAATCTTGAAATTATTTAAACAAAAATGATTGAAATCTACTTTTGAAAAAGCAGCAGAAATCGCTAACCAAAATTGTATGTTGATAGTCACACAAATTAACTATACTAATCAGCTAGATCAATTTCAAGATTAAGCCGAGATTTTCGATTGAAAAAAAGGCAACCAAGCAAATTACGCGTCTTTTTGTCGTGTTTAGCACTACATATTTTATTAATATATTGAAGTATACTATGTTTAAGTTGTTTCCTATTTGATATCTGATATCACATCATATACATTTCAAAAAGCTTTTTAAAGTGAAACAGTTAGGAGTTCGTATCAGACTAAACGATATGTTGCTAAGATAATTAAAAATATCAACATAACATTGTCTGAATTTTGGCTCAAGTAAACCATTTCTTGTTTGAATTGTTTTTCACATATCAGATATTTATAAACCGTTGAATATTCAGTAGGTTACTTAGTCTTCTAAATACGATATCTGAATGCATTTTAAATATTGTGTTTACAAAGTTTTGAAGAGTCAACTCATGTCACTCAGCTTCACAGTCAGAGACGTTATCACTGGGCTGTCTGAGCCGTAACTGAGTTCCTATAGAACTGAGATGTAATCACAATTGATTAATCATTGAATGCTGATCAATACCACATGTATCAGGTCGAATCCGTCGAGAAGCATCAGTTCCCTCAAGATTATTATTGTATTACTTTTGGTTTTCGCATAACAGTGTCTGAAGTTACATCCAGCTGATAAGTCTCAGATAGAAACATTCTATTGTCAACCAAAATTCAAAAAAATACACTAAAATCTTAATCTATTTTATTTACAATGGAAAACTAGATGTACATGACTATTAATTATAAATTAACATAAAAATGTGAATCATTTGTGATGTTTCAAAGATTATTCTTAGGAAAAAAAGAAGAGAAAAATAATATATTTATCCATGGTAATTATTTTAAATCATGCAAATATTATGAAATCACTTAGCGACTAAAAAGGTATATACAATTACATCATAAATGATTAATATATATTAACTTTTATTCTAATATCTAACATAATACAGTATAATATTGTTTATATGTATATTTTGTTATTTATTATTTATCAATGAAATATACTGATTATCTGAATCATTACAACAAACTCCACCCCCCCCCAACAACAAAAACAAACCGATTCAATTCACATAACATATTAGGATATAAATTAATCAATAAAGTCATTAAAATAATTTCCCTGATCGTATATAACTTATATTTGAATTTACTTTAGATTATATTGATATGTAGTCATAGTCATTACATAACAAACTATTGAAAATCATTTATATGAACCTGAATGATATTTGTTTATGATGAATCGTTTATGTTTTCTTTCTTTAGTTCATATTATGCTAAGTAAATAATCATTATTTTTGTTTTTTTCAAGGTTGTTGCTATGGCTAATGAAACATAGACAAAATCTAGAAACAAACAAACAAAAAAAAATAATAAAGACGAAAATATAAATAAAACTGATGAAATTGGAATTTTGTTGTTGTTGTGATTTATAAAAATTGCTTAGATTCTATTAATTTAAATAATTTTGTAAATTGTAATTCTATACATTCTAAACGATTATTTAAATTACGTAATTCATTAATTAAATGAATTTCATTTAAATTGCTGCCTTGTAAATGATAGACACGATTTGATAATGTACATCGATTAGGATTGTAATCATTTGTACATGACCAAATTGAATTGACTGGAGAAGTATTTGGTGTATATAAACATCTAAATGTAATGAAATAATAAAAAAAATCGAATTGAATTTATAGCATACAACTAATGTTAAATTTCAGTAACTTCTATATTAAAACTGACATCAGTTTAAAGATTATTTCAGGTAAGATACATAAAATCGATGTTTTTCACCATCTTGAAATATTTAGCAGTATGTAACCATAACCAAATACGAGATAAATTAAGTACCTTGTATGGTTGGTGTTGAGATATTCAGAAAAATATCCCAAAAATTATTCTGTTAAGTCTAACGCTATCCTTGGACTTGAGATGGTGTCATTTTCCTGTTGGCCAAATATTGTACAAATATTATTTTCTATTTTATGGTACGATGTGGTCTGCTTGATTAGTATATAAACAGAGTATGTTTGAAATATAACGATTCATATCTCAGAGGCTGAGAATTGCGTTCTGGACTCAACTGGCTGGGCTAGACAACAGAGCAGGGCCAATCAGAACTCTAGGTTTTCCTCACGTGTTTTACGCGTCTTTTGGTTCGACCGATAATTCACTGCCGTCTAATCTGCAGTCACGGTCACAACGATTGGGATTAACTATACTATTTAGGATGATCGTTGAAAAAACGGTGAAATTTCGATTATATTAAGGTATAAAACAGTAATGATGATAATTAATCATGATGAATTAAAGTTTCATTCAGAGAGCTGGAAGTTTAAGAATTCTTTCATTTGAGTACATTTCCTATGTCAAATTCCATACTGTACATCAGTGATATCGGAAAATTCTTGTAATTTCTTTTGCTGTCAACTAATGGCGTCTAAATCTTAATGACACATATGAGTTTTGAAATAATAACCACCCAACACTTTGTTATCTTCAAAAAGCATTTTCATGCAGTAGAAATTAAATTAAAGTTTACGTAAATATCTAAAGATTGTTGATTTATTCTAGCATGAAGTCATAGATACACACTGATGAAGAGTCTTAATTCAGGACAAGACAGTTGTTCAATGATCTCTAATTTTCATTAATTACTCACTTGTAACGTAGATTAACTTTAAATCCAATATTCTTACTAAACAATGTACAAATAAACAAAGTAAATTAACAATCAACTTACAAATTAGATGTTGAAATTGTATTAATATCACAATTAAGTGAATTGAATTGTGTCAGTTGCATAGATACGCATATAGGCTTACTAGATACTATTTGTGGTTGTGTATTTTCTGTAAAATTTACATTTGGAATTGAAAGACATTGACCGGATAATAAAGGAGTTTTTTCATAATTATATGATAAACACTGTGGTGATGCAATGCTTGATGAACATAATTCGTCATTTGACTGTGTTCCGCTTGAATGATTTGAAAATATCCATGTATCATCTGTATGACGATCAGATCTTCGGTATGGATTCATCACACTAGAACTTGTTGCTTTTGATTCAGAATTTTGAGCTTCAAATGTTGGCATAGTATGACGACGATTTTGTTTAGGACTAAATGATTTCAAATTACAAGTAAATGTTTTATGACTCATAGTTTCGTTTAGCTCTTCTATGGGTTTATAATTAGAAGGTGGTGACTTATTCTCTTTTGACTTTTGTGTCAAGTCTAGATTACTTGAACAACCGGATGATTTAGATGATTTTAGTAGAAAAAATCTTCGTCTTGTTACAATCTTATCCGTTGATTGCAAACGCCTTGGATAATGAGATAAATATTTTGTGCCAAGAGTTGGTGATTTAAATTGCCATGCAATTTGATTTGCTCCCGTTACTTTTGGCTTTGTAATTGTTGATAATGGTTTAGTTATTGATATTTCCGAATTTGATCGATCATTTGCATGAGGAATTAATAGGCCAGACTCTTCATCATATGTTGTTAAACTACAACTTCTTCCTTTATTGTCAAATATAAACTTAGGCGGTTTCAAACTTTCTACATCTTTAATAACATTCAATTTAGTTTCACTATCCTCCCAGTCTTTTTCATCATTAGCTAATTGTAATGTAATAGCTGGAACAGTAATCACATCATGTGACAGACAATTTTCCTATATATTCGAAAAAAAATACTTTGAAAAGTATAGAGAGAAAAATAGTATAAATGCCATGGTATCATAAACTAGAAAATCTTAAACATTACATAGATGATTTTTATGCTACTGAATTCACATGGATTAAACATTTAAATTCAGTTGGTATTGTTTACTTGATGTTTAACATTGCAACTGACTAGTCTCTTATTGGAATATATGCATACTGTTCGGATTGCGTCGATATTGCAGGTACATTCGGCTGATGAGTCCCAAATAGGACGGAAAGCGTGTCCTAGATTTCACTGCTAGTCACTATCCATCTTTGCTTATAATAATTAAACATTTAGCTTACATTGTAATCTTTATATAAACTGTAGTATAACTCAAGGTTTTACGTGAAACCTAATAGCATATTTTATGAACTTAAATAATTTCTTCTTGTATTTTCTTTACAGTGGTTATTCATTGAAAATGAATTCTTGCAAGCCAGGTTAATTAGTTCTATGATATTTACAAGAATGATTTGATTTATTGTTCTACATTAAGATGCATTATAAGTTAGATTGATATGAATTTGGTTAACTGTTATATATCTAGGGATTCTTATTAAAGGAAGTTCTCTTTTTCTTCTTCTTGTTCTTCAGTGATCTTGTTTGTCTGGTTAATGACAAAAAATCAATATGTTTCAATTTGGTATGCATAATTTAAACAACTGTAGTTTTTTTCATTACGTAGAATCCAATTAATCTTCATCTGTTAATTCACATTGTACGGTACTTACATGAAGAATAAAGATCGTTAAATTAAGATTTACACGAACGTATCAAGTTATATTATGTTTGTTAGATGTAATGACATGCTGAGATAAATTACTTGTTCAACTTACATGTACTTATGGTGACAAGAAATAAGCAATCTCTATTAGGTATTTAGCAGAAAACATCATTCATAATAATCAAAGTTTTATTAACCAGTCATTAAAAACTAGGAAGCTTTGAACAGACGTTTCATTCTAGTATGGGGTATCTCAGCAATGGGTACTTACAATTCTATCAAGAACTAATGCAGGATGTTTAAGCCAATGAACTGGGATCCAGTGGTCTTTATTGCCAATTTTAATTAGTTCATAATATTACGTAAAATGTAGATAGTTGCCTTACATCCAACACAGAGGGACCCTATACGTGAATCAAATATGTGTCAAATGCTTCCTGGTCTTCAGTTGTTGCCTACCAAATATCAGTTACGATGCAAATTATATAATACATTGATTTGTTTTATCCCATCAAAGAATATCATCCATTGAGTGACATTTAAGAAATAGTGTACTGTTTATGAATATAATAAACCGGATTTACAAATTCAAGAACTAACTTTTGTATTTATTATTTCTTCGTTTGTTTTAGAAGTGTAAGAAACTTTAGGCTTATGAGTTCGATGATACCTATGCACTACTGAAAAGCCTCAAACTAGAACTAAACAACTGTTCGGTATTCCTTAGTTTTCAGAGGCCTCCCAGATGATATCAGTTCATGAATAGATCTACTTCTAGAATCTACACAATATCATTTATCTTGATATGGATTCAATTTTTAATCTTAAACAAGAACACAGCGTCGAATAATTTTATCCCTTAGTATTTTGTGTAGTTTTATACTATATCTATTATTTGTTTTCGCTTACTGGGAAGTTTAAGCAATAGATCGTTTAGTTGATAAAAGTTTGTCCGTTATTCTAGGCAACATAAGAAAACTTTATCCTAAATCTAAATTAACTTTTTAGAATGATTCTAAAAGTGATCTGTCAGTTTATAATGATTACGTAGCTTGTGATTGGCTTTCACCAGGTCTAAAGGAATTTCTTACACTATCATGTATATATAAGTAATGAGTGACCAGTTAATAAGATTCTCTTGCATATGAAACACATAAAATGTAGTGGTCAAATGTCGAAAAAGTGTAAGGATTTGTTATACCACTATAATTTTCATTCATATGTATTAAAGTTTGATTTTTTTATTTATTTGAATGACTACTGAGTAGTGAAAGTTTTTGTTGGTTATGTCACAAGTAGTTGCTAGGTTTCATTTATAAAAATGTTCCTTTCTGTTTATTTCATTCATAGTTGTGTCATTTTAACAGTAATTTAGCAAATGAACTTAAACTTTCCCTACCGTTTGCTTATTGATGCTATTTGAAAGGTTTTGTAGTGCTTACAATAAGTCAAGCATATCTCATTATCATAATTCTGTACGGATCCTAAGTTTAGAAATTTCAGTTGTGGCCTTATTGTGCTTGTTCGTATTCATTCATTGAATCACTTCAAATGTTTCCACTGTGATAGTGATAGAATTCTTTGGTTTAATGGAATTACATTACTTTTAATCTGTGAATGAAATCGATTTCATAAAATTTGACGCTTCAGTTTTAGTTCTAAGAGAAGATCTTGCGTTTTTTTGTATGGGTCTGTTTCATAGTGACCAGAAAAGCAGCCAGTAGTCTGAGTAACAAACTCAGTGGCTGTTTACTCACTCCTAGATATCATAAACTGTTTGTAAATTCAAATCACTTCTCATTTGTTTAACATTTTTAAGTTTAATTTTACTGGTGGAAGTATAATTATGCTGTCCTATTGTTTCACATTCTGACATTTGTTCGTTATGAGACTAAACGTCAACAATTTTATTTTCATTGGGAGCACCTCAGAAAATCAATACTTGTATTGTTTCCATGATTTATGTATATTTTTATAATATTTATATTATTACAATATTAAGGTTTCATACTTATCTTCTGGAGTTAAAGTATGAAGGGGAACTAATACATTGAAATATTGAACACAAATTAATAA